GTGACTGTCCCTTGCGTGGGTCATCTAGGCCCTCCATTGTAGTTGAGCCTTGATTGCTGTTGGCACATTCTTGGGTGGTGCAGAGCCTCAGACAAGGTGGCTATGAGGATTTACCATACACAGTGTAAGACTTGCCAGGTGGGACTGAATTCATGAAGCAAAATTTGCTCCACTGTGGTTGGTGCCTGCTGTGGTCTTTCTTTGGGTGTGCTGCTTGTGGAGATAATTGAGTGTTGCTCATAGCCAGCCCTTGGGTATGTGGTTTCTAGGCCCTCTTGAAGGAGACTCCAGTGCAGGTCAATGTCAGACAGTTCTTGTGACTGGCGCTGGGCTACCTGTTAGGTGCCATAAAGTGATCCACAGTTAGTAGGTGCCTCTTTTGGGCCCAGGTGCATGTTGGAGGGGCCAAGCTTCATCCTAGGTATGCTGCCACTAGTTCTGGTTCTGGCACTGGTCAGCAAAAAGCCCAAGGCACCCTGAGATATTTTCTTGCCTGTGGGTTTTCCTTTAGGCTCAACCGCTGAAAGAGTCTTGAGCTATATACGCAAGTTGCTTGTGGCGAGTTTTCAGGCAGTTATCGTGTAGGGGTGAGTGGTGTCCACCAGATTAATTCACTTTCAAACTCAGTGCCAGTCCTGGGTTAGAGGCCACTCAGCAAAAGTCTCAAGGTACACCAAGGGCGTGGCCACCTGCTTGAGGCCTTTGCAGTGGCGCTGGGTCCCAGGGAGTCACCAGTGTGGAGCTAGTAGAGTTCAGCAGGCAGAGTGGGTGAAGATTTGGCATGTGGAAGGAAGGCTTAACACAGGAAATGTGCTGCTTATTGGCCATGGAAAAAGATGGCCCTTGCCCTGAAGCCACACAACTCAGTTTCTCCCTGTGTGTTTCTGGTACCCCCTGAGCTTAACTGGAATTCCTTGAGTTTTTTTGAGAATGACTGCCATGCTGGCCCAGGCTGGCTGCCACTCACAGACTCTTTAGCCTTAGAAGGGTGATTTCCTAAAGAGAAAGGTCATTGGGTGGTCTTATATCCAATTTTTTCTTGGTTTCAGCTAAGCCAGATATATGAGAGTTGATAATTTTAAGTAAATCATAGCTTGTTTATACATATCTGTTATACTCTGGGCCCTTAGTGGCCCCACTGTAGGGGGCTGGTTTGTGGGAGGTAAACATGGAGCCAGATCTGATTTCCTGTGAGCAGAGCTATCATTCAAGTGGACACTCATAGCAGTCACAGTGTTGCCCACAAACCTAACAATGGTGTACTAGAAGTTCCAATATATTTTCAAAACAGGTATTTTTTTTTTATTGCATTAGGATAATTCGACCTTATACCAGTTTCAGGTATACATTTGAGATTATTCTTGGTTTTAGCTATTGGATAATTGAGTAATTCTGTACAGAATAAAAACCAAGTTAATGAGATAAGTAATTGATGGATGTCTTTTGGCTAATTTCAGAATTAGAGTGCTGGTTAGAGTCTTAATTTTCTGGTGGAAAGTACCTAAATTTTGCTTTAAGGGATTTATTCCTTTTAAAGTCATTTAAATGTGTTATTTAATTCTTACCACAACTGTATAATGGTCATCTCCAGTTTGGAGCAGAGAAAAATAAAAAATTTTGACATTAAGCCCAACAGCGATTACTAGTTTATTGGTTCTTCAAGAAAATTTTATTTCAAAGTTTTTCTTGACACGTGCCTTCTGTGTTCTAACTTTATATACATGTATTCATTAGGTTATATAGTTGCTTTTTAGTCACAATTTTTTTAGGAAAGCAATGCAAATAGTGTGTTTTAGTCAAGGATAGTAGATACGTGTGTATCTGTGTAGTGCATGTACTTTTAAGTATTTATGGAGTATAAGAGTATAATAGTCGTTCTATATAGTAACAGTCATTTTGTGTTTTAGTCTTTCTAATATTTCATTTCTGTACAAATGAGTACTGCAAAATTATCATGTGTATAATGTGTACCCATGTTTTTGTGTGCATTACACACAAGATTATTATACCCATGGTATCATGATCATTTTATCCATGTGTAATGTATATCCTTATATTTCCTAAAAAATTTGGGCAGGAAAGGGTACATTATACATGGCAATATATGGTACTGATGTTTGTCTATTTATCACTTTATCTACACTTCATAAAAATGCTTAAATATTACTTAATTATCTTTAAATTTGTTTTTCAGTGTGAAATTTATGAACTAATTCTTGAATATTTATGAAGTAATCTTGATTTTTGCAGGTGTTGCAAGCCCTTAGGAATATTTAGCTTAATTTAGAACAGGATTCTCTATTTGGGCTTTTTTTTTTTTTTGCCTGATCTTTCATTTTTGAAAATCAGGTTATAGTAAATCCATCTATGTATACTCCTTTTGAATCTTTCAACAGTAGTTTGGTTGGTATGTGAGTTCTCAGGGTTTATGATATCCTGATTGAAATTCTAAGAGAATTATTTTACAGATAATATATGTCACCATGTATATGTTATGTATCCCTGCAGTAAAATTTTTATTATAGAACGCTTGTGATAGGATCAGAAGTCTCAGTTAATAAAATAACAAATAAAGAATACTGTTTCTTGTTGTTGCTATTGAGCAAAATTATTTTATAGTTTCCATTTGTATGAAAATTGTCCATTTCTAAAAGAACCAATGTAAGATCAATATATTAATAATTTAAAGTACTTTGTAATATGTTCATAAGTGGTGTGATCATGATGATATGCTGCCAATTGGTGTTTGAGCAAGGAAGAGTTTAAATCTCTTTCGCTGACATATGTTAGTTTTAGGTGATTTAAGTTTCTCCCTCAGCAGATTTGTGACTATAAAATTATTTGTATCAGATTGATTATAGTAGACATTTGGATGATAATGGCCCTGTGGGATGCTATTAGACTTGTTTCTCAAAACAGGGTTCATGGACTAGCAATATCAGCATTACTGGGAGGTCGTTAGGTATATTGTCTTGACCATTCCAGATAACTCCATCATAATGTGCATTTAAACAGATTCTTCAGATGGTTTGCATGCACATTAAAATTTCAAAAGTCCACCTGTAGAAGTCATATCACTTGGCGTCTTTACTTTGTCAATACCAAATCAGCAGACCTGCTTTTGATAAATCTTCCCTAAGATAGTAGCACCTTCTGAATTTGCATGAAATTGAATCTTGAGAAAAGGAGATGGAAGACTGAGGCCTCGACATTAGAATGGCATGGCATGCACCATCACTTACCACAGGGATGCAGACATACATACATTATTCCTCCTAATTAATGAATAATGATGTCCTGAAATGTCTGCTGTGTGTAAAATGAAACAGTGGGTCAGAGGGTTTACAGTCAGCATAGGGAACTGTCCATGAAGGTCAGGTAGCCTGCCACCAGCAGAACCATGGTGTTCTGGGGTATGGCCCTGTGGATCCATTGGCAAGGTTTCTCCCAGCTGTGGTCACAAGGGACAGTGGAACTACAGCACTCATTTCAATCAGATACGCCTTTTCCATCAAAGTAAGTACTGTCATATTAGTATATTTAAGAGGACTTAGACTTCAGAGCAAGAACCAAAGAAATGCAAATGTCTAGATGTACCTTTTCCTAACAGCCTTAACGCAATATTTGTTGTGGCATACTCTGCTTCTGAATTTTTCAGTTTGCTTTAAGGAAAAACCTTTTCTTTGCATTCTGCTTCCATTATTTCAAAACTCCCTTCAGTTTTGCTCAACTTTTAAGGCAGCTGTAGGAGCTCATTGACTTTTCTGGGGATTGCACTTCAAAACCTTTGCGAGGGATCCCTCAATACACATGAAGTCTTGCTCAGTAGTGTGACCATAAACCACAGGACGGGGAGCTGTTCTTGTTGAATCTGGGGTTATATCTGGCTCTTTTACGTGTCCTTGTGGGTGGGAATGTGGGTAGAGGTCTTGGGGTGTGGGGCACAGTTTCAAAACCAGTGTACTAATGGTAAGAACACCATCATGGGCCCTGGCTAGTGTGGCTCAGTGGATTGGGCGCTGGCCTATGAATCAAAGGGTTGCTGGTTTGATTCCCAGTCAGGGCACATGCCTGGGTTGGCGGCCAGGTTCCCAGTAGGGGGTACAGGAGAGGCAACCACACATTGATGGTTCTCTCCCTCTCTCTCCCCATTCCTTCCTCTCTGTCTAAAAATAAATAAAATGAAAAATCTTTAAAAAGACACTATTATGACTGACCATTATTAATATATAAAAAAGATATCTTTTTTCATGACATCTTTTACCTGCCTCCCTGAATTCTGATTTTTATGCAGTAGTATAAGGTTTTTCTGTCTTGCGTAGGGGACCCAGAAAACTTCAAGGTAGGAAGACAGCTGCAGTGACTGCATGGGAAGTGTCTTAAGCATGTGGGGCCTGGGACAAAACAGAGAAATGCAAAGATGCCTCTCAAAGACATGTAGTTTTCTGATATGCAATTGGCAAGCATATTATTTATATAGCAGAGAAGAGGGCTTACCACAAAGTTTCTCACAGGCCGAAAACTGTAAAAGAAAATTACAGCATAGTATACTCTGAGATTGTAAATACCATTCTGTGTTGTGCTGACTCTCTTAATTTTAGAAATTTGTATGTAATATTTTAAAAATACTAATAATGGCATTTCACTTATGCCACAGATATTTGCCTTTATAGAATCTCAATTATGAACTTAATTTTTAGAGATAAGAAGACCCTGTGATATATTTTAAAATAATATTAATTTTTTCTCCTCCTTTAGGCATATTAGGCTTATTGTGAGAAAAAAATTTTTGTTCAGGATTTTTTCAGTGGAAAATACATTTTGATTTGAACAGGATTTAAATGGCAACTTGATAATAGCTAATTTTAGATCGCTGAATGTTCCACTTAAGGACTAGCTCAGATTTTATGTCATGATTTCACTAAAAAGTGCTATCGAGTCATATCAGATTGTCATACATCATGTTCAGTGAGTGCTCATGCTCCTTTTGCTCTATATAGGAGAACGACTCAGGCACTTTGGACACGGTGGGAGCTGTGGTTGTGGACCATGAAGGGAATGTTGCTGCTGCTGTCTCCAGTGGAGGCTTGGCCTTGAAACATCCAGGGAGAGTTGGGCAGGTAAGTAATTGTGGGGTTTTTTAAACTAGTTTTTCAAGTTAAAACATGGAATTTTCTAAGTCCCAAACTTTAAACCGTAGTGATATTTTTTATACTATATATTTTTTAACATTTTATATTATAAATCAATCAAAAACTTTTTCAAGATTCTTTCTAGAAAATCTGAGTCAGTGATAGAGTTCTTTCTGATCTTTATCATTGGTAATCCTATGTTTTACTATTTTCAATAGGCAGAGCATTAGTTGAAATTTAATAATGCATTGATTTCTATTTTCTTCCTTTGTGTCATTCTCATTAGGAGGAAGCATTACCTGACTGAATTGCTGCTTGCTCTTTAGTTGGGAAAATGATTTTAGAGTTCCATTTTGTCTTTCTGCCATTCAAGGAATATTTTGACCCTCTAAATCCCTTCTCTGATTAAGCATGTTGGCTATTTTATAGACTAACCAGTCTTTTAGGTCACCAACAAATGATACTTAACAAATCTAGGTATAAAGAAAGTCTAATTTTTGTGTAACTGGCTTATTTCCAGTTTTCTTGCACGCCTTCACCGTGACCCCCTCACTCCCACCCTCACCCCCATCATCAACCTTTAGTACTATATTGAGAATGAGATTTAATAGTCTATTTGATGTAGTAAGCTTTATACACTTAATATATTTGCTGAGTGAATAATTGAATTGGATACCCACCATGGAAACTGTTAAAGTAGTTGCATGGGCTATGTTTAAGCTCAGTGTTTGGATCTCATGTTGCATGTGGAATACTACTTGGCCGCTCTTTGCACTTTGTTTCTCGTGTTTGAAGAAGAGTTGGTGTCACAGTTGCTTTGGACATGGTGGTTAGTGAATGCTTGCAGCAGAGCGATCTGATTCATGGAGGACATCTTTGCAAAGCCTCAAGTGTTCTTCCCTAATCTGCCCTTTATTGTGGACAAAACGCTTATAGTCCTTGGAAGAAAGGCAGTGGAAAAATAATTACTTTTGTGCAATTGTGTGTCTACTATACAAGGGGATTTATGGGGAATAGTTACTCAACATGTGTGCAATGCTTTGAACTCATTATAAAAAGCCTTGTCTAGTCATGGTATTTTTCCACATTATGAAAGTCTTGTACATTTGTCAAGTTTGGAATAAGAAAACCAAGGTTGGCATATCAGATTTGGATGCCTTGGTAAAGAGGGAGAGAAAAGCCAGCAGAGCCACCTTTATAGCATTGCAATTCCTATGATTTTCTCACTGTTTTTTGTTTGTTTCGGTTAGCAAAATAGCAACAACAGAACCAAGGATAGTTCTGGACTATGTTAGCAGGATATTACATCAAACAATCTTCAGACCATTCTGCCACTGCAAAGGAGACTACTCTGGAAAAAGAAATACTTGTGTAAAACTTAATGTTTATTTGCTCCACTTGGCTAGTTTATGAATACACTCTTTGTGAGAGATGAAAACTCAGGAAAGGGTGTGGAGAAGAGGAATCAAGGTACTTAAAGGAAAATACCATTGTTTAATTGCATTAATTTGCTTGGATAAGATGTGATTAGCGCTGGGGGGCAGGGAAATGTAAGATTACAATGAGAGGTAAAGAACTGTTCTTCAAAATCAGTAGAGAATGTAACAAAATACACAAGGAAGTTGGTTTTTTTTTTCTCTTTTTTTAAGCAAAGACTTTTTTCTATTTTTTTTATTTTATTGTTTATTTATTTTTAGTATATTTTATTGATTATGCTATTACAGTTGTCCATTTCCCCTCCTTTATTCCCTTTCACCCTGCACATGCCCTCCCACCCACATTCCCCACCTTTAGTTCATTTCCATGTGTCATACATGTGAGTTTTTTGGCTTCTACATTTCCTATACTATTCTTAACACCCTCCTGTCTATTTTCTACTTACCATTTATGCTTCTTATTCCCTGTAACGTTTCCCTGTTTCCCCCTTCCACTCCCCTGTTGATAACCCTCCCATGTGATCTCCATTTCTGTGGTTCTGTTCTTATTCTAATTGTTTGCTTAGTTTGCTTTTGTTTTTGTTTTAGGTGTGGTTGTTAATAGCTGTGAGTTTGCTGTAATTTTACTGTTCATGTTTTTGATCTTCATTTTCTTAGATAAGTCTCTTTAACATTTCATATAATAAGGTCTTGGTGATGATGAACTCCTTTAACTTGACCTTATCTGAGAAGCACTTTATGTGCCCTTCCATTGTAAATTAAAGCTTTGCTGGATAGAGCAATCTTGGATGTAGGTCCTTGCCTTTCATGGCTTGGAATACTTCTTTCCAGCCCCTTCTTGCCTACAAGGTTTCTTTTGGGAAATCAGCTGATAGCCTTATGGGAACTCTTTTGTAGGTAACTGTCTTCTTTTCTCTGGCTCCTTTCAAGATTCTCTCCTTATTTTTAATCTTGAGTAATGCAATTATGGTGTGCCTTGGTGTGTTCCTCCTTGGTTCCAACTTCTTTGGGGCTCTCTGAGCTTTCTGACTTTCTGAAAGTCTATTTCCTTTGCCAGATTGGGGAAGTTCTCCTTCATTATTTGTTCAAATAAGCTTTTAATTTGTTGCTCTTCCTTTTCTCCTTCTGGAACTTCTATAATTCAGATGTTGGAATGTTTAAAGATGTCCTGGAAGTTTCTAAGCCTCTCCTCATTTTTTGATTTTTGTTTCTTCATTCTTTTCTGGTTGAAAGTTTTTTTCTTTCTTCTGGTCCACTCAATTGATTAGAGTCCCAGTTTCCTTTCCATCACTATTGGTTCCCTGTACATTTTCCTTTATTTTACTTAGCATAGACTTCATTTTTTCATCTAATTTGTCACCAAATCCAGCCAATCCTGTGAGCATCCTGATTACCAGTGTTTTGAACTGTGCATCTAATAGGTTGGCTATCTCTTCATTGCTTAATTGCATTTTTATCTGGAGCTTTGATCTGTTCTTTCATTTGGGCCATTTTTTTTTTATTTGTCTTGGCAAGTCTGCTATGTATAAGGGGTGGAGCCTCAGGTGTTCACCAAGGCAGGGCAACCCACTTCGACACTGTATGTGGGGAAGCAGTCAAGAGGGAACAATGGCACTTGCTGTGCTCTCTGTTGGATTTCAGTCACTTCCCCTGCTGCCCATAAGCAAAGTGGGCCTTTCTGGTGCCGATTCCTGGGTGGGTGGCTTGTGTACATTCTAGGCCCCTGTGGGTCTCTCCAAAGAACTCTCCAGTGAGGCTGGGGGTTTCTCCTGCTGCCTCCTCAACCCCCACAGGTTTTTTCAGTCAGAAAGGTTTTTTTTTATGCCATAATTCATTTAAAAATTTTTTAAATATTTATTTTATTTATTATGTCATTACAGTTGTTCTATTCCCCCCTTCATTCCCCTCCACCCTGCACCCCCTACCCATACCATTCCCCCCCTTTAGTTTATGACCATGTGTCTCAAGTTCTTTGGATTCTAAATTTCCCATACTATTCTTGCCCTCTCCCTATCTATTACTGTCTATGTTACTTATTTTCTGTACCTTCTCCCCCCTTCTCCTCCCAGTCCCCTGTTGCTAACCCTCCATGAGATCTTCATTTCTATGGTTCTCTTGATCTAGCTGTCCTTTTAGCTTGCTTTTGTTTTAGATGTGGTTGTTAATAACTGTGAGTTCGCTGTCCTTTCACTGTTCATCTTTTTTATCTTCTTTTTCATAGATAAGTCCCTTTAACATTTCATATAATAAGGGCTTGGTGATGATGAACTCCTTGAATTTGATCTTATCTGAGAAGCACTTTATCTGCCCTTCCATTCTAAATGAAAGCTTTGCTGGATAGAGCAATCTTGATTGTAGGTTTTGGATTTCATGACTTGGAATACCTCTTTCCAGCCCCTTCTTGCCTTTAAGGTCTCTTTTGAGAAATCAGCTGACAGTCTGATGGGAACTCCTTTGTAGGTGACTGTTCCCTTATCTCTTGCTGCTTCTAGAATTCTCTCCTTCATTTTAATCTTGGCTAATGTAATTAGGATGTGCCTTGGTGTGTTCCTTCTTGGGTCTAACTTGTTTGGGACTCTCTGAGCTTCCTGGATTTCCTGGAAGTCTATTTCCTTTGCCAGATTGGGGAAATTCTTCTTTATTATTTGTTCAAATAAGTTTTCCACTGGTGGCTGTTCCTCTTCCCCTTCTGGTACCCCTATAATTTGGATGTTGGAAAGTTTAAAGATGTCCTGGAGGTTCCTAAGTCTCTCATTTTTTTTGAATTCTCATTTCTTCATTCTTTTCTGGTTGGTCATTTTTATCCTCCTTCTGGTCCACTCCTTTGATTTGAGTCCCATTTCCTTTCCATTACTATTAGTTTCCTGTACATTGCCATTCATTTCAATTAGTTTAGCCTTCATATGTTCCTCTAATTTGTGACTAAAATCAACCAGTTCTGTGAGCATCCTGATCACCAGTGTTTTGAACTATGCATCTGAAAGTTTTGCTATTTATTCATCACTTAGATTTATGGGCTCTGGGGCTTTGAGATCTTCTTGAGCCATTTTTGGTCTGTTCGCGCCCATTAAGTATGAGGAGTGGAGCCTTAGGGGTGGGGCAGGTCCTCCAGGGTGGGGTCGCTGGTTTGTGATGCTGTATGTGGTGGCGGGGTCAGAGTGGGGAAATGGTGTCCCCTTCTCCTGCTTCCCGCCACTGGGTGAGGAGCGAAGCCTTAGGTGTACACCAGGTTGCTGACTGGGTCTCTTGCTGGGTCGCACTCACTAGGCCACTCACTGGGTTGGCCCTTTGCAACCCCACACCTGGGATCTGTGCGCCTGAGTCCGTCTGACCGAGTTTTCCTATGCAACCCCGCCCCGCCAACTGCTGGTTTTGCCCCTTTTACCGGTTGGGCTGAAGGCTGAAGAATTCGTTGTTATGGGACTTCCGAAAAGTTCAATTTTCTGTGTTCTGGCTGTGTTTTCTGTTGCTAACATTATGTTGTCTCTAAACTTGGTTGTGTGAGAAAGCACGGTGCTTCTACCTATGCCTCCATCTTGGCAGAAGTCCTCAGTCAGAAAGTTTGAGTCTTTATTTCCACGTGTTGGGACTCTAAAAGTTGTGACGTCTCTCTTGGTCCCCAGGTGTTCCTCCTGGTTTATCTGCACGTTAATGTGGGACTGCTGGTTCCCACAATCCGCCGCCTTGCCCACCCTGTCCTCTACCGCTGTTTTGCCACGAATCCTTTCTGTCCAGTTGCCCGTCTCCACCTCTCCTACCAGTCCGGATGGATGTTTCTTTTTTAACTCCCTGGTTGTTGGACTTCCATACAGGTTGATTTCTTGTCAGTTCTGGTTGTTTTTTGGTTTTAAATTGTTGTCCTTCTTTTGATTGTGTGGAGAGGCACAGTGTGTCTACCTATGTCTCCATCTTGGCCAGAAGTCCCCTAAGGCAAAGACCATTTTATAAATGTGCTAAAACTAGACTTGCAGTTAAGATGGATGCATGTATAAACATGGATTGCCTCCTCACACAACCACATTAAAATTACAAGTAAACTATAGAACAACCATTACTCAGAACCATCAGAAATCAAGTTAGTGGAAGTCCAACAACTATGGATTAAGGAAACCACAGCCATTCAGACTGGTAGGTGGGGCTCATGCATGGAGACATGGAGCAAGTTGATGCCAAACTTATACTGGTTAAAAATTTGGGAGGGATATCTCGGGAGCAAGGACTCCTAGCTCTATACTAGGCCCCCAGCCCAGGGTCCCAGTGCCAGGATGATAAGTCCTCATAATTTCTGGGTGTAACAAACAGTGGAGATCAAGTTCATAGAAGAAAATTCTGGAGTCCCAAGTAGTTCCTCTTAAAGAATCCACACACAGACTTACTCAGACTCACTCCTCTGAGCTCCAGAACCAAGGTAGCAGTTTGGAAGGCATCAGTGGCATACAAGAAGGAATTGTAGTGTCTGGCATCAAGGTGAGAGCTGCGGCATGGCTTTCTCCCAGACAGAAAGTTAGAAAGAGACCATTGTTCCTTTTCAGAAAACTCCACAGAGCTGGCAGTTGGGTGTCATTTCTGAGACTCCCTCAACATGGCTACAACTGTTTGTCTTGCTTTGGAGACCCACTGAGGTGCCATCCCATTCAACTTATGGCCCATGCAAGCTGTTTACAGTAGCTTATCCACATAAATGGCTGGTGTTGGCTCATGCTTTACAACATCCTAAGTTCTCTCAAACAAGCAACATCCAGCCTCAATGACCTCCCAGACCCTGTACCACTTGCTATGAGGCCCCAGGCTGGTTCACAGATTGGCTTTGGCCTGTGAACCTCCAAGCCCAGCACAAGTAGTAGCCATCTACAAGTGGCTTTATAGTTCATGCAAGATGGCCCCAGGCAAATCACAGGTTGGGGCTGACCTTGGTCTGCGCCACTCAGGAAACCCTAGAGCCTGTGCACCCAGTGGACAGCTACAGACCTTGCTGAAGCACCACCACCCTGTCCCTGCACGGCTGATCCTCCATAGAGGGTCAGCACAGCTATCATTTAGAATGGAAGGACGGATAAAGTGCTTTCCAGACAAGGTAAAGTTAAAGGGGTTCATCATCACCAAGCCATTATTATAGGAAATGTTAAAGGGACTTACTTAAGAAAAAGTTCAAAACTATTAACAATAAAACGGCAAAAAATACATATCAACAATTGAATCTAAGCAAACAAGAACAGAAACAGAATCATGGATATAGAGAGTGTTTTCTTTTTTTAATTGAATTTTTTCCCCACTACCATTTAGACTTCTTCTATCCCCCTTCTCCCTGTAGTCGCCACAGTGTTGCCCATGTCCCTTAGTCCTTTGGGGAGCATTTTGATGGTTGCCAGATGGAAGGGGAATTTGGGGGAAATGAGTGAAGAGGGAGGGGGATTAAGGAGCACAAATTGGCAGTTACAGAATAGCTGTGAGGTTGTATAATATGGTATAGTATAGGAAATGGAGTAGCCAAAGAATGTATATGTATGGCCAGTGGCTATGAACCAAGGTTTGGGGAGTTCCTGAGGGAGTTGGGGCTGCTGGGTGCAGGGGGACAAAGAACAGGATTATTATATTTTCTTCCTCCCTTAAGCCTTACCCTATGCACATACAAATAGGCAATTGAGTCTAACAGTTAAGAATATAGACTTTGAATTCAGGTAAACCTTTATTCTCTTCCCACCTTTTCATTTACCAGTCTTCTTACTATGGACAATATTCAGTGTTTTAAGCTCCTTTTTCCACTACTGTAAAATGGGGATAAATAGCTACTTTACCAAGTTGCAGAAGGTTAAATGATACAATGCATTTAAATCATCATAGTTCTTCATTATAACAGTTATACCTACTGTTTATTAATCATTTGGTATGTGCACCAAGCATAATTCACATTCTCTTACAATACTATGAGGGGGGTGTTTTTATTATCTCATTTTATAAAAGAGGAAACTAAGACCCAGAGAAGATTAAGTCATAATAATAAATATAATTTATATGACTTTTACCACATGACAGTAACTTTAATAAAATTTTACTACTAAAAGAGGGAAGCTTTTTAAAAAATTGTTTTTTAGGCTGGCTTAAGGCTATGTCTTATCCATAGAAGTAGATAAGAGAGAGACAATCTCTGATTTTTTCTTTTATCTTACCTATCTGCGTCTCTGCCCAACCAATTTCAGAAGGTTTTAAAATAAGACAAGTTTAGGTCATAAAATTGAGGAGAGGTAGCATAAAAGGACTTTTCTTAGAAGAAACAAAAATAAGAATAAATGTTCGTTCTTTTATAGAAAGAGATGACCTCCACTGGGTTTCTAAGAGGTGTCCTTGTGGCCTTATTTACAGTTTTTTGGAGTGCTGGCTCCTGGTCAAGATCATTGTGGGGAATGGAAAGGACAATGGGCTAATGTCCAGGGTTTTCAATGAAAGACAAATGGGTCCTTTTTCTGAGGTCCTGTGTTCCCTGAGGCTTTGGCTAACTTAGAATCTATCCCAGGTAGTACCAGTCAAATGGCTTATCCAACAAGTCTGCCAGTTTTATTATGAAATCCATGTTTTGAATCCTTTCTGTAGAGTTTTTAGTTGCCACTCTCACCTAGAAGTCTTATGAATGTAGGAAGCATGGTATTTTCAACAGCCATAATGTATTTTCTACTGTCTGCTATGTTGGAAGCGTTGTGTTCAGTTCTTGCTTGGTTTTACTTTTTTAGAGGACTATTGTCATGACACCTGGGGATGGCAACTGTGGGTCACAAGACTTCATCTCCAATTATCCTAGATTTTGTATTATTTCTCAAGGAGGGTGATTAGGTGAGTGGGGTATGTGTGTGTGCATTTCAAAGTCTTGAGGAACAGTTCACAAATCTAGGATTCTTTGAGTGAGAAAAGAATCAGGGCACTAGGATAGCTGTTTAAAAAATTTATAGGGCTTTAGGAGGTGGTTAAAGTATTTCCAGAGAGTAGAACTAGTACTAGTGGGTGGAAGTTGTATTAGAGAAGGTATTCCTTACGCAATCTAAGGAAGAACTTTCACCACGGGGAAGTGTCCAAGTGGGAAGTATGTTCTAATATGAGATAGTGAGCTTCTTAGTATCAGATGTGCCTGGGTTATTTCAAGGAGATTCATGTGCTTCGTAGAATATTGGAGTAAATGAGTTCTGAAGTCTTTGTAAAAAAGAATAGAAAATTACAGAAAGATGTGGTTTGTCTGCTAACCATTCCCAGTCTTATTTTCAGTCCCCAACAGTGAGTACCTAGAAAACAACGGTACTATTTTATGGAAATACCTTTCTTCCCATCAGTCATACTGAGTGCTGATATATTATGTGGCTCATTTCCTTTTTTTTTAAACTAATTTAATTATTTTTGAATAATTTGCAGTGAATTCCACATATTGTCATGCCAATATTTAGCAATTTCCTTACTGATCAACTTACTGTTATTTTCAGTTTTTCATTCTCACCAAACATGCAGTAATGCACATTTTTGTATTACCCTATGATAGCTCTCTAAGATTTTTTTCTAATACTGCTTCTAACTGAGGAGTGGAAAATTATCAGTTGTAATTCCCCTCTTAAATGCACAGATTGTGGATATTGAAGAGATGAATCTAGACATTCTGGGTAGCATTAATTGGAAACAAAGTAGGAATGATTGATGTGTTCTTTTATAAAACTATAGTAACTTATTTTGCTTCCAGTTTCAGACATATAAATCTGCTTCACCACTCTACAAAGTGATTAGCTTGAACAGGACTTTTATCCTTTTTTCTATGCACCTGGAAAAATCTAGCACAGCAGTCAACATATTACTGGGTCCTTCGGTCCGTAAATGTGTGCAGTTCTTATTGCGCCACCCAAGAGAGGCATGGAAAAGGCCATCCTTAATGGGCTTTCCTAGATAATGGCAGAAGGAGTGCTGGCATCCCAGTTTTCCAGGGTGCTGGCTGGGAACCATGGTTCCTATCACCATGCTCCCCAAGTAATTTGATAACACAACTAGTTTGAGAACCACTATTTTAAGGCAGCCAGAATGATTTGAAAGGGCCAGACAGCAACTGGTTTACAAATTACAATGGAAGAAGACTTTTCAGGAGAAGGAAAATTACTGTTGATAAGACTAAAAACTTTCTTTTGCTATTTTTCTGAAAAAATTTAGATTAATGCAGTAGCTGAAAATACAGTTTTGATACAACCTCTGGTATTATTGCCCAGGTGGTATACATCATTATTAAGTTTATCAGTGGGAATGATTTTTGTCTTCTGTTGAAAGCCAGTAATGACATATAGTATTTCTGAAATATTATATTTATTTTCTTTTATTTCAGGCTGCTCTTTATGGATGTGGCTGCTGGGCTGAAAATACAGGAACTCATAATCCCTATTCCACAGCTGTGAGTACCTCAGGTATTTGCTGCTTTCATGACCATTTTTCATAACTTCAACTTCGTAGGTCATTGAATGATTGAAAACAATAATTTTAGGTAAGACTAAAGCATGTGCTAATATACTGCACAGACAAGAGCTCTGATGCATAGAAGACCTGTGATAGTTGAGAGCTTTTAAGGATTTTTTTCACAATATAAGTTTTGCAGTGTAAATGCTTTCCTAACATTTCATCACACTTTTGGAGTTAACTGTAACTTAATAATATTTTTATGTATTTTTTTCTCTAATGATTCACGATAGGGCCAAATTCAGATCACAGATCTAAAAGTAGCAAGGCATTTCAAAAACTAAGAGATATGCTCTTCATAAAATGTTGACATAAAACTTAAAAGTATATTTCAAAATACATATTTTGTGACATTCAGTCCTCTTCATTTTAATAAAATGTACATCTAGTTTTTGTACCTGTATTATAAAAGTAACTGTCATTAAGACGAGTGTGTGCGCTTGCATTGAGGGGGTGAATTTTAATTGGCAGAATGGTTGGTGTCTAGATCCAAGTTTTTATATGCTGAGCCAGATGCACTTGAAGCCTTTTCTTTTAAAGTGGTGACATGCATGGCTGACAAAATAATATTGGTTTATATTGACAAAATAATATTGGTTTACTTTTACCTATCAAGTTACAGTCTAGGCCTTTCCCCCCATATCCTCAGGCTTTATTAGTAGGGAAGATTGATAGAGTTGTCTCTCTGTACTTTCCCTTGTCAATCCGATTGCTACCTTCTCCTGATAACTCTTGACTCTGCGATCTCTGATGAAGGTGGCTGTTTTCTTTTTTCCCGTAACATAGATTCTGGAATTTTTTTGGTTTGTTCTGCTTCTCTGACCTGTCTTTGCCTTCTTCATAGATTCTTCCATTGCTGACAGCTGCAGATTTGGGCCTCTGCTGTCTTTCCTTCATCTCCCTGCATGTGTTGTCTTGGTGATTTGGTGTTATTGCTGTGTTCCCACGATTTCAGCAGTTATCTCTTAGGGTATTGACTTCCATGTCTATCTCTACTCTGGGCTTTTCACTTGAGGCCCATGTGAGTCATTTCCTATTTCCTGTTGGACATGTCCCTGTAGGTGTCATGTACGCACACCATATTTACCAGATTCTACAAAATATCTTGTTTCTTATTCCCACTCTTTGGCCATCTTTCTCCTGTACTTGCTCTCTCTTTTATTGCCATCACTATCCTATTCTTTGCTCACCATTCTCATATTTTTGCTGCTTCCCATTTCTGCTAACTTGACCCTGTCATTTTAGGTCCATATTATGCCTACCTATTTTAGCAGTCTCCTGACCTAGATTCATTCCTGTATCAGTGGAAGAATAAGACTCAGCCATTGGCTATCAGGTGAAGTCTAAATACGTATTAGTGTTGAGTATGAATCACAGTAATATAGTTGGTAAAAATTGTTAGTCCTGTAATTTTGAAAAGATGAACATAAAATAATACGATCAGTTAATTTTTAATTTAATGTTGGTAGCACATGGAAATTTTTCCACATATTTAGGAATTAGCTTGTGCTATGGAAAATTGTGGTATTTGAATAAACAGGAGTCTAAAATAGATCATTCATTATTTTATTGTTTTTTTCAAAGACATATCAGTTTGTATCATCTGTCACTTTTATTATTGCCTAGTTGGCTTGCTGTTCTTTAAATGTTATTCTCATGTCCAGATCTTAGGAAACCTGGATTCAACTCTTTAAGTTGAAATTCTGAGAGCCTGTCTTGACTGTGTCACTTTGGAAAAGAAATTCAATTCCTTGGGATTTTCCAAGCGCACCACCCCCAACCCCCTTTTAAAATTGGTAATGTGGAAGGTGGGATAAGAATACATTTACTGGATTTGATTCTGTTAAGTAGAATGGAGTGGGTGGGTAAAGCTAAAATTGTAAAACTAAGGTCTTTTTCCCTTACCCTTGGATATTTCCTTCTTCGCTCAACTTGCATCAATTAAAGGCATTTTCATATGACTAAAGATAAGTTTAGGTTTCTAGTTCATGACAGCTTTTGTAGCTTTTTAACTTGGATGCCCAGCTCACCATGTTACATCCTTCCTAAGTGTATGACTAACCATCATCAGCCCATAGAACCTGAAGATACTAGAGCAGGTCTCCAGTTTCTTCCATCTATGGGGCTTTGTGTGATTTGCTTTACCCTTATTTGGGGGGGGGCTGTTGCTATGAATTTGACAGTGGTACACATGGCAGAGTTAGATGATCAAGTCAGAAGAAAGATGGAGCACAGAATTTTGAAGTTATTTGGCTAAAATATAAATGAATTGTGCTTTAGCCTGTTGCAGGTCAAAAGACCTGGCCTACATTTTAGGCTTATGGCTTTTGGAAGGTGATAATTGAATAGCAGAGGGAAGTTAGTTATGGTCAGGGTAGGGCTTTCCCAGGACCCGGACAGGACATGCTCATTAGCCTAGGGGATAAACTCCAGCATCTTCTTCTTATCACTGTGGGGTGGGGAGAAATGAGTAGGGAGTGGGGAAGAGAATAGGATGTCAGGAGCTGAACTTGCAAACTCTGACTAATGTAGCATCGTGGAAATTTGCCTACATAGGGAGGGAGCAGAGTGGATACCTGGGTTCTTTTTCAGACTCTTTCGCTCATTGGCTGGAACCCTGGCAAGGGGTTATTTGTAAAATAAGAATAATATCTACCTTAATATTTATGAGGCTTGAACAAGTTGACATATGAAAGGGACCTAGCACACTTTTTGGTCCTGAGTTTTTTAATGTATTTTGTTGAATCTAAGTCACCATCTTTTATAAGATACCTCATAATTTAAAAGAAATACTAATTGATTTATTTTTTTACTGTGGTAAGAACACTTAACATGAGATCTATTTTCTTAACAATCAGTTTTTACCATTTTAACCATTAAAAATTGAAGTATAGTTGTCATACAATGTTATATTAGTTTCAGGTGTACAACATACACCTGATTTGACATTTATATACCCCATGAAATGATCACCATAATAAGTCTAGTAACCATCTGTCTTTGTACAAAGTTATTATAATATTATTAACTACATTCCTTATGCTTTATATTACATGCTCATGTTTTATTTATTTTATAACTGGAAGTTTGTACTTCTTAATCCCTTTCACATTTTTCACTCCTCCACCTATTGTTCCCTCTGGTAACTATCAGTTTGTTCTCTGTGTCTGTGAGTCTGTTTCTGTTTGATTGTTTTTTTGTTATTTGTTTTATTCTTTAGATTTTGCATATAAGTGAAATCATACAGTATTTGTCTTTCTCCATTCAACTTATTTCATGTAGCATAATACCCTCTAGGTCCATCCATGTTGTCACAAATGACAAGATTTCCTTCCTTTTTTATGGCCGAGTAATATTCCATATTGTATATATACCACATTTTCCTTATCCATCTATCAATAGACACTAAGGTTGCTTCCATATCTTGGCTATTGTAAATAATGTTGCAATGAACACAGTATGCACGTCTCCTTTCTAACTAGGGTTTTTGTTTTCTTTGGATAAATGCCCAGAAGTGGTATTAATGTATTATATGATAGTTCTGTTTTCAGTTTTTTGAAGAATCTCTATACTTTTTTTCATATGGCAGCACTAATTTACAATCCCACCAACAGTGCATGAAGGAAGCTTCCTTTTCCTTTCACATCCTTGCCAACACTTGTTATTTGTTGTCTTTTGGTAATAGCCATTTAGACAGTTATGAGGTGATATCCTGCTGTGGATTTGATTTGCATTTCCCTGATGATTAGTGATGTTGACTATTTTTTCATGTGTCTGTTGGCCATCTGGATATATTCTTTGGAGAAATGTCTATTTAGGTGCTCTGCCCATTTTTTAATTGCATTGTTTTTTTGATTTTGAGTTGTATGAGTTTTTATATATCTTGAATATTAGCCCCTTATTTTATATATAATTTGCAAATACAGTCATGTGCTGCATAATGTGCTGCATAACATTTCAGTCAGTGACAGACTGCATATATAATAGTGATATATAGCCTAGGTATGTATTAGGCTATTTCATCTGTTTGTATAAATATACCTTATGAGGTTTGCACAATGATGAAACCACTTAACAGTGTAGTTTTCAGAGTGTAGTCTTGTCATTAAGTGGTATATGACTGTATTATCTCTCATTCGATAGGTTGCATTTTTATTTTGTTGATGCTTTCCTTGATTGTGCAAAACCTTTTTAGTTGATGTAGTGCTATTTGTTTATTTTTTACTTTTGTTGCCTTTTCCTGAGGAGACATATACAAAAAAATGTTGCTAAGAGAAACATTGAAGAGTTTACTGCTTGTGGTCTTTTATGAGTTCTGTGGTTTCAGGTCTTACATTTAAGTCTTCAATGTATTTAGAATTTATTTTTGTATATGGTATAAAAATGATATAGTTTCATTTTTTGCATCTATTCTATTTTCCCAGCACCATTTAGTGAAGAGACTGTCCTTTCTGTATTATATATTCTTGCCTTCTTTGTTGTAGATCAAAATAACCATATAAGTATGGGTTTATTTCTGGACTGTCTATTCTGTTCCGTTGATCTATGTGTCTGTTTTTATATCAGCACCATATTGTTTTGATACTATAACTTTGTAGTGTAGTTTGAAATCAGGGTGTGTGATACCTCTAACTTTGTTTTTCTTCCTCAAGTTGCTTTGGTTATTTGGATCTTTTTTGGTTTTAAATTTTAGGATTATAGTTCTGTATAAAATGCCATTGGTATTTTGATAGGGATTGCATTGAATTTGTAAATTGCTTTGGGTAGTATGGACATTTTGTTGCTATTAATCCTTCCAAACCATGAGACAGCATATCTTTATATTTATTTGTGTTGTCTTCAGTTTCTTTCATCAATGTCTTACAGTCTTCAGATGACAGGTTTTTTGCCTCCTAGATTAAATTTATTCCTGGGTATTTTATTCTTTTTGATGCAGCTGTAAATGGGATTG